ACCCTTGATAGAAAAATAAAATAAGCTTCCAGACCTTCTCTTCTCAACTCCAACCCCCGGCCTTCTCCTTTCCTTTCCTTTTCTATCCTTCCTCCTTCCACTTACGCCAGCCACACCCAAAGCCAACTGCAGCTGTCCCAATCTTTTCCTTCCCAGTCAAGCTCCTGCAAGCACTCTCAGGCAGTCCCCGCTACACTTGCAAGATGGATGTCAGCGTTCTGAGTTAGTCTAGACAAGAAATACACCCGGAAAAACTAACCTTTTAATTACAGGTGGTCCTTGACTTACAACCACAATTAAGCCCAAAATTTCTGTTGCGAGTGAGACATTGTTAAATGACTTTTGCCCTATTTTACAACCCTTCTTGCCACAGTTGTTAAGTGAATCACTGCAGTTGTTAAGTTAGTAACATGGTTGTAGAGTGAATCTGGCTTGCCCGTTGACTTTGTTTGTCAGAAAGTAACAAAGGGTGATCCCAGGATCCTGAGACACTGCAACCGTCATAAATATAAACTAGTTGCTAAGCATCCAAACTTTGATCACGTGATCATGGGGATGCCGCAATGGTCATAAGTGTGAAAAATGGTCATAAGTCCCCCTTTTCAGTGCTGTTTTAACTTCGTCCATCATTAAACGAATGGTTGTAAGTCAAGGACGATCTGTATAAGGTTTCATTAATAGAACCTTCTACGTTTGCCTTGCTTACATTCCTGCTGCAGACTAAGCTGCCTCTTATCCAACAATTGCCTTGCCTAAGCTCTTCCTTGTCCCCCAAGGTCACTCACACATATCATTGCATTCCCAGACTCACATATTCATCGAGAAGAATGCTAAATTCCATTTACCGGTACTCTTGCTTTATCTCTGTCTAAAAAAGTTTTGTTTGGGCCATTTGAATATAAGTTAATTACTGAGTCAGATGCTAAAGGGTGAGCAGATAGATATTCTATTCATAATTTTTAAAAACCACCTTAGATATTATTCCCATCCACCAAATGTTTCTTTATCATGCACAATAAAGAAGGGGTCACCTTGTGTCCTACTTTCCATCTCTATTCTGCCCCTGCTATGTACGTAAAAAAGCTAAAGTTGGAACAATCAAAAGATCCTCTCTTTAGGGGATTAACCCTCTTATTGAGACGTAGGCCAGGTGAATTAATTAAAACATTTCCTAATTCTAAGACAGGATCCTGTATCAGCACACAGTAATTTGTTTCATCTAACATGGTTGAATCCAAGAGTTCCACTCAAACTCTGGCATTTAAATTCAGGGCTTTAAAGCAGGCACCTGAATAAGTAAGCTATGTTAGGATGATTAATTTTCCTCAGGGGATCTTCAATAAGGTCAAATGGAATATTATTTGAACTTGCTTATCCTTCAAATCACAGTTGCTCCATTCCAGCCAGACGGTATAGGTTGATGATACCACTCCTCTTGGCGCAGCCTAATGTGGTGTCTTCCAGAGAAGAACACAGAGTCAGAGTTAATTTGTTAAGAGGAAAGGAACTTGAGGATTGATTTCAAACATGAAAGCAGGTATAGGTCAAGGCCTATGCATATAATGCTGGCAGTGAGTTGGCTGTGATGAGTTGTTCTAGAGACACTCTCCAAGAAAATCACTGACCTGTGGTCTTGCCAGATGGATAGTGCCCAATGCTCCAATTATATGTATAACTATTTTATTTGCTCTTAGTAAATGTTGCATGGGAAGAAAAAAATATGAAACAGTTAAAAAAGGAGGATGTTTTCTGGCTCTCCCCTAACATTCTATGAATGATATAGTACAGGGACACATACAGGTTTGCTTGGACTAGAACCAGCCCTGGAGATACGAAACGCATTGCAAGGCATCCAGGGTACAATATAGTAAGCCGCATTTCTGTCTTAATGCTGTAATGTCGATAGTTTTATACAGTACCCAAGGTAAAAGTGCCCCTCTGATATGCATTTCTTTTGAGTTGTTTCCTTTCTAGCACGAATCAAGATCAAGCGTCTCTGAAAATAAAAACCTAGAAGTCAGTGGTGCTACAGGCTCATTTTAAGAATGCTAACTCACCCCTGGTGAACTTTTGGTCTTCCCATTTTCTGTCTCTCCTTCTTTCTTATTGTAGCAAGGGAGGGCAATCTGGGTTCTTCAAATATTGCTGTACTAGTGAAGATGCTGAGAATTGTAGTTTAGCTTTATATGGAGGCCATATGCTTTCCATCTCTGCAAAACAGTCCAACTAATGTGCAAGGATATTGGTTGAGGCACTTACAATTCCTTTATAACAGATTAGAAGATTTAAGATCTCTCTTTGGAAGGTTACAAGAAAGGTGTTGGCCTGATTAACACATTAACCCAGTGGTGGGATTCAAATATTTGAACAACAGGTTCTCTGTATGGATGCCACTTCCGGAAGTCCATTCTGGGTCTGGGCAACTAAAAATTAGCTACCGGTTCTGCCGAAGTGGTGCGAATTGGCCGAATCCCACCACTGCATTAACCCATCATTAGCTTAACTATGGTTTGTTCAATAAATCAGAATTAATAAGTCATAGAGCAAATTTTATGTATTACAGTGGCTGGATTCACACAACACATTAAGCCCTAAAGAAATAAACTATCTTTTAATTCAGCCTTATTGTGTTATGTAATCTCAGACTATACAGCAGTAACAGGAAAATGAGAATTCTCTGGAACCCCGTCCCATATTGAGGGATTTCAGGAATTTAGCAACATCTGGAGGGCCAACCCTGATGTTTGATTTTCAAAAATCACCAGACTTTGCGGCGATGTGTGGAGAAGAACCATTTAGAAAGAAATAAATGCAGAGATTTGCACAGCTAGTTTATGAAAAAGTCCTTCCTTGGGAAGCTTACTAAGATTTGAAACCTTACCCTTTCACCCACAAAAAAGTTCCTTATAGATTGTTGGTTTTCTTGCGGTGAACTATGTATTCCATATTTCAGTGTAAGCTCCACTCCTTTGATAACATCAGA